TAGCTTCAATTGTTACTATAATTTCTTCAGATGGTGTGGTAAATTTATTATTTTTGAGAATTGTTAAAGTTTGTGCTGCAATTTCCTTTCCAACCATAGTAATATGTTTATTTTTTTGTGATTGTGATGTAAGTTCAGTAAAATATCGTTTGCGATTAGCTGATATTATAGATTGTTGTGCAATATTTTCGCGCATTTGTTGTAAAAAATTTATATCTAGACCAAAAAGTATTGTACCAGCAACTTGTGAATTGGGCTATTACATATTTCCTATAATAGAGATTATTAATTATAATAAATATTGTATACAATTTAATTTATAAACTTACTTTTAAAAATAAAGAACCTGCTGCCCTAGCTGATGACAAACTATATCTTGACTTTATTTGATCATTTTCATCTGTCCATTCAATAATATATTTAATTGCAATTTTACGTGAAAATTGATACTGTGTTTTACATAAAACTGTTAGTCCACTTAATGTTGTTTTTACTTGATAATTATTCGGAACTTTATAATTTATTCCCTTTTCTTTTCTAGTGTAAATTACTTTTGTAGGATATTGTTCAAGAGTAAGGATGAGAACTGTAATTAATATGTTGCAACATTTTGTAAATTTGAAATCAATTGCTGTACCATCTTTATCCAAGAGATATAATTTTATATGATTGGGAATAATTTTTACCACCAAACTTTCTAATAGCATGAATATATAGATTGGAAGGATAATTATGAAAAAATTATGTTGTGTATTTTCATCATTAACTAGAATAAGCTCTCTTCATTTGAAATTTCGCGAAAGTGATCACAAGTTATTAGAGTTTGAAACTGTAATAGATTATTTGAAACTTCATACTCATTTAACAGATTTTGAAATATAATAAACTGTATCAAAGTTTATTTTTATTAGAATATTATATAAATAGCTTTAAACAAGTACAATTTAAAATATTTTAAACAACTATAAAATTTTTAACTTATTACTTCGTCAAATTTGTTATTCTTCACTTCCTTTTAATTCACCTTCCTTTTTAGAGTATACTCAAAATGTAAACAACTTTGAGCTTAAGAATATGATCGGAGTATGATTAACTTTAGAAAGAGACTTGTCAAAATAGGAGGAGATATAATTAATGATGGGGTGTATTGCAATTATTTTGATGCATTTGTCACGGAATAATCACATGTGTAATAATACAATTTTTTAAAAGTCACATCAGATGATATTATGAAAAGAGCTGCATCTGCCCATATGTGTTGGTATAATTACAGACCTTGATATTGAAAATGAAAATATTCGTGTTGCTTTTTCAGTCAGGGGTTCTATTATAGATACTACGATTTATAAAAAAACACACTATTTTGAATTACATGGAAATAATTGTAAACATACACAATATCTACTTCAGAATTCTTTCGCTCTCACAGTACATAAAACCCAAAGTTTAACATTACCAAAAGTCTCTCTCGCATTAGATCAAAACATTTTTGCATCAGGACAAGCATATGTCGCACTTAGCAGATGTTCTATATGAGAAAATGCCAATATATCACACCTCGACATAACAGTCTTCATGACAGATCAAAGAATAATTGAAGAATATCAAAGACTTCAACGCATATCACAATCAAACCTAAACTTTCCTAGACATTAAAAATCACAAAACTACATCAAATTAATTCTATATTCTTTTATTGTGTACTATTTTTATAATAATTATTAAATATGTTATATATACATATTAAATTATCTGTAATTATTTTCTATATATACAAACATACAAAATAAAAATTAAAATATGTAATTTCTAAAAAAACTCATTCTTATTTTCTAAAATTTGAATTTATCAAATCTTAAGCTCATATGATCTTGAAACAA